AAAAGATCAGTCCATAGATTACAAGTGGGGAGACAGGAAATGTTGCAATTACTTCAAACCACAAAACATCGTTACGAACTAGAGCAGGAAATTTTCTATTAGCAGCCCAATAAGTATCAAATTCGCCGCTTTGTTCTTACTTTGAGGACTAGTTAATTTTTTTTTTAAGTTTCTTAACGCAGATCTTCTAAAAGTAAAAAAAGAAAAAAAAACTCACCAGATGGAACGCTTTCACTTCGCCTTTTCCTCGGGAGCCGTCTCCGACTAGCCAGCCTGGGGGCTGCCTGTTTGTCTTCGGTTGGAAGCTCTACCCTTGGGTCAAACAGGGACTTTGTGGTGTCCCTGTGACCAGCAAGGCTTTGGCTTCCCTGTCACCGTCTCTTCGGGACGGTTTAGGTACTACCGGACCGTCCAAGGACAAAAGTTTCATCGGCGGACCCAGACTGTCAGGTCCGCGCGATGTGTCATCGCGACGTTGGCTCCTCCCTCAGTTCTAATCTCAAGTATTCTTGTGTCTGTTATGAAAAAGTATTATGTTATGCCTCTTCTCTTGAATAGGCCTGTAAGGTATAAAGCAGGTGCTCTTCAGATGTTGCAGAACTACATATCCAAATAGCAACAGCTAGCTTTAATAAACCTAAGGAACAAGGCAATCTATCTCTTGATTTACAAACATGTGAAGTGGGGGTGGAGTGGACTTCCTGGTCCTGGTGAATGGTTTGCAGATGCAGCTTTTAAATTACCGTACTCATGCATGCATACCATGGACTGTGAAGTCAATCTCTTTTTTTACCTTTTCCTCTCTGCCTGGTGAACTGCTCTTGTCAGAAGTCTGGAAAAATCACTTTCAAGTGTTTTGAAATAAGGCTCAGGGCATGGATTATTTATCATCAAGAGCCAGGGTGGTGCAGTAGTTAGAATGCAGTATTGCAGGCTAACTCTGCCTGCTGCCAGGAGTTTTATCCTGACCGGTTAAAGGTTGACTCAGCCTTCCATTCTTTCGAGGTCAATAAAATGAGGACCCAGATGGTTGGGGGCAATATGTTGACTCTGTAAACCACTTAGAGAAGGCTGTAAAGAACCGTAAAGTGGTATATAAGTCTAAGTGTTATTGCTATCTAGTTTGGCATCCCCCCACCCCTCATTACTGTATACATTTAACCCAGCTTTCCTCAATCCATAACTTCCAGATCATTTGGAATGATCCTTGTTGGCTGGGAATTGTAGTTCCAATTCACCAGGAAGCATCAGGTTAGAGAAAGCTTCTTTCCCATCATACCTTTTTTCTCTCAGATTAGACATTATTTTCAGTACATGTATATTTAGGCTGTCCATTAGTGTCATACACACAGCATAATTCACAGTGTCAGATGTCTTTAATTATGCATTTCTTGTTACAGATTCACCTAGTGGGCCTACGCTGGTATCAGAAGGAATTCAGTCATGAAATGATTCTTAATTTTACCACAGATTCTTGGAATCCAGAATTGTGCCTCAATTTATCTTCAGGCAGCAATTACACTGTAAACATCTCCACTGCTGACCTAAATCATAGTGTCCTCATCAATTTGAGCATCCCATTAGCAGGTAGTGCCTTGATTTACAATTTTTCTTCTTTTTTCTTATTCCAAGGTTGTTCCTTCAGTATGAGAATCTATCACAGCTGAAGATACTTTACATTCTCCAGAGCTCCAGTTTCCATGTTTGATTAAATAATTTTATATACAGTCATTTTCAATATTTCTGCAGAAATCAGACCTAAAACATGACTTGTTCCCCTCATGAGTTATACTTTATAAGAAGCAAGGTAGCAGATCTTTAAAAGTTAATAACAGTGTGGGTTTATTGTTAAACTGTCCTTCCTTCAGTGGATCTTCATTCCTTATTAATGAGTATGTTTTCCACACAGAAACTGCCTGGGCACCCTTGTGAAGAGGACCCATTGTTCTGAATGTTTTTTCCCCCAGGAAATAGGAAATAATTACCCGTTTCCAGCAAAAAACCCAATGTGGATTGTGGTCACATGATCATGGGATGCTGCAAACAATTGTAAATATGGGCTGGTTATCAAGCACCCCAAATATAATTATGTGACTGTGGGGAGAACAGCCATTGGAACTTTAAAACTAGGCCATAAGTAGCTCTGCGGTGGTCGGTTGTGACTTCAAATGGTTGCTAAGACACCAGTCATAACTTAAGGACTCCCTGCACTGTGTCTAACCATACAGCAGTTTTCCCCAAACTGAAGTTCTCCAGGTCTATTGGACTTCTCCTTCCAGAATTCCTATCCAAAATTATAGAAATTGAATTTGAAAATGTCTGGAAGACCACCACAGCTTAGGCAAACTGCTAGTGATTCAAGAAGAGTTCAGATTGGTCCAGAGGTGGAACAGAGCATTCCAGAGTTTTGTGCAATATTTCATTTTTGAATCAGTGAGTTTTACCCATCCCTATCATATATCAGGTACTGAAAACAAGTAAAAATTAAAATAATATTCCCCCAGGTCACTGGGAAACTCTTCAAGTCCCATCTGGAATCTTACTGAATCCATCAGGTATATTGAATCCTTTCTAGAGTGCACTAAGGATTAATGTTAATCCTGTTAATGTGTAACAGAATTAATGGTGGTCAGTAGTTTATTTGTAGGACAAGGACCAAATAATGATAACATGCATACTGGCAGCATTTTATGCACAAAAAAGGTATATAAAATTTTACTGACTGCTGTGTCCCAATGACAATGTACTGTTAAATATAATTTACATCTGTTTGGGTTTTTTTTAAGCTTTGGAACAATGAGAAAACTTCTGGTCAAAGAGAAATATTCATCATTTTCCCCTTCACATAGAGTTTAAGAGTTGAGTTTTGGGCCCTGTATGAGGAGATGGTCATTTTTGGAAAATAGACAGTAGTTGCCAACAGTGCTGGCAGGTTACGCTTTTTCAGCCAAGGTATTTTTTTTACAAAAAAGTCTTAAGAAAGCTTTTGGTGTAGACTAATCTCATTTTTATAAACCAGGCTGCATTTTCTGTTAAACATTATTTTTGTTCTGTTTTATTGTTGCCAGTTCTGATATGATTTGATTTTGCTGCTTGCATGTTGTTTTGGATTCCTAATAAAAAAGGGTGTGATTTTTTTTTAAAGAATGAATAAATAAATGCTGAATGAATACATTAAAATGTTACAATAATAACTGCCTATTTGTTTTTTAGATCCACCATCACCACAAGTAGAATTCATGTCAACACAACACTTTATACCATTATTGAGCTTTCTGAAAGCTGAAGGAAAAAATGGTCCAATCAGGTCTCTGGCTTTTACGCTACATATTTCAGACACCCAAGAACGCTTACTTCCATGTAATTGTTTTGTTTTTTAACGTTACTTGCTCTGATTATTTTGTTTCCTCTCCTTTCAAATATCACTGTTGTTCAAAGCAATAGTACAAGTAGTCCTTGACTTATACCATTCATTTAGTGATCTTTTGAAATTATAATGGCACTGAAAAAAAGTGACATGACCAGAGGTGGTATTAGCAGGTTCTGATCACTTCTGGAGAACCAGTAGCGGAAATTTTGAGTAGTTTGGAGAACCGGTAAATACCACCTCTGACTGNTGCTGGGGGCTGGGGGGGGGGGAACGGCCCATTTTTTGCAAATTTCTGCCCTTCCCAGCCCCCAAAAGCTCTCTGAAAGCCTTCATAAGGCTATGCATGGCCATTATGGTGAAGGGGTGGGGCTTTGGGAGGCAAAAAAATGCTGTATTCGATGTATAAGACACACCCAGATTTTCACCCTCTTTTTTTGAGGAAAAAAGGAGCGTTTTATACTCTGAAAAATACGGTAGTTAAAACTTTGATTTTAGAAAATTACAAACAGTTTAAGGGTCCATATAAATTTGAAAGAAGATTTTGGAATTAATTATTAAAAAATCCTTCCCATAGGAAAATAGTTTTGTTTTTAATTCTTCAAAAAAAATAATGAGATAAGGCTTGAAAAACTCACAGACAAGAGGGAACTAGAATGAACTAAAGATTACAATTAAAGAATAATAATACTCAAACTCACAAATGCAGAATGAAGTAAAGTATTTTAACATCGGTCATATTAAAGGATATTTTTGAACAATGGAGCCAGAAATCAATTTTAAGTGTTTTTGCCTCTATAGAAAGATTATGTTTAAAAGATGCTAGAGGAAAAAGAGGAAAAAGTGTTACTTGACATGATTGGGACTGATGTGAAAGTGGATTTAAAAATAACAGGCTATAAAAATGATATGGAAAAATATATTACATTGAACATACAAAAGAAATCAGCTGATATTTTAATAATTAAAAGGCATGTACAAATAACAACCGAGAAAATCACTTGAATAATTTTCCTATATTGGAATTACAAAAGAAGTTTGTTAAAGCTTTGAAGAATTTTGTAAAAATTGACAGAGAAAAAAAATTAAAAGATATTACATTATTTAAAGAGACTAAAGATCAAGATTCCTATTTGTGACGATTGCAGTGCCCAGGGTCATGTGATCACCTTTTGCATCCTTCTGACAAGCAAAGTCAATGGGAAAGCCAGATTCACTTAACTATGTTACTAATTTAACAACTATAGTGATTCCTTTAACAATTGTGGCAAGAAAGGTTGTAAAATGTGGCAAAATTTGCTTGCCAACGGAAATTTTAGGTTCAATTGTGGTTGTAAATCAAGAACTGCTAACTTTTTAGGTTTGATAAGCATCTGGTTGACTGTCATAGAAGAGTTTAATTAACAATAATAATAATAAAACCAGAATACTGAATGAGCGGCGTGGTGGCTTAGTTATGAAGACGCTCGCCTTCTACTTGGAAGGTTGAGAGTTCAATGCTAGATAGTGGCAGATGTTTTTCTCTTAGGGCACAAAGAAAAAATATCTCTGTGAACTCCATCTAGACATCAGGAAGGGCATCCGGCCAGTAAATACTCAGCTCTATCCAATTGCCCTGACTCTACCCCTTAATTAAGGGACTACAGGGTCATAAAAAGAAAAAGAAATAACAGAATATTGCACAAGATAAGGCTTGATTGCTCTTCTTACATTCTTACCATTTTAATTTACAATGCAATTTTCATGTATTGGTTAGCAGTACATGATAAAAATAAGAAATTAGGTTGATAAATGACTTTTTCTTTTTCGTAAGTCATTTTGCTAAGTAATGTATATGGTTGTTGTTTTCTTGTGTTGTAGAAGTGCAAGACTTCGTTGATGTTACATGGAAAGATCCTTGTGTATCATGGAAGAGACATTATGGAAGCGCTGGAGTAAATGAAACTTATCAAGTTCGTGAGACATTTGATTTCTTCTGTCTTTGAAAGATAAAATTATCTTTATTACTTAGTACAGGCAATCGGTCTTCTGTAGGTATGAGTGTATAAACATTTATTAAAATGCTAGCAATAAAGGCAAGTAATTTTCAAAATAAAATTATTTAGATGGTTATGGTTATAGATAGCATTGTTCTGGATTCATTGTAAACTTTGTGGAGACAATTGTATTTGTACTTCTAAACCGGGAGGCTTTGGTAAAACAAAACCATTTTTAATGCAGATTTACTATCTTGCTCTAGTTTCTTGCTGTCTTCAGAGTTATGAAATATATATCTACACTATAAAACCCTTTAATTTTGTTTTTGAGAATTTAATTGTTATGCCCTCCTTAAAAAGTTTTTTTTAAAGTTCCGACAATCAGCTGTGCCCCACAATTTATATTCACTAGAAAGCAGGAAATCCTGCTTTCTAGCGAATCTAAATCATGTGGCACAGCTGTTCCACCCCCACTGTTCTACTTACTGTAGCTTTGCAGACTTAGAAAAGGCTTCTTCGCGCCTGTGGGGGTGCAAAGTGCGCATGCATGCGCAACACAAACTGGTGGCAGACTTCAGAGCATTTCACCCCTAGTTCAGTATCATGAAGGTAGCTCTGGGAGTGATGCAGGAATATGAGCTTTTGACACAATTACCCTTGCCTGTAGGATCAAAAAAGGAAGGCATGAAGCTAATCTATAGTGGACTTTTGGGCTGATGATGTGAAAATAGTGACTATGCTTGACAAGACCGAGAGAATTTGAGAAAGGGGAGATGGATAGGGTTAAGCAGATTACAGAAAGAGATGATGAGCATTCATCCATGTATATACCAAAAGTTGAGCCTAAGTCAGTGCCATGCAATTTAATCAATTGCCATGACTTTTCTCTTCAAATAACTTTGGGAACCTGTATTGTGATGCTGCTCTTGCAGAACTATAATCTCTAGAATTCTCTGGAGAGTTGGAATTGGAATTTTAAAAATATTAAATTATAGAGATGGACCGTGGACTCTTGCTTTTTATATTTTTTTCTCTTTTTGCTTACAGGTTACTATGTTGATGCTAGGAAATGAATCAGAGGACACGACAGATATGTTGATCAAACCACCCGCCACTGAAATGACTGTAAATGTGTGTTTGCAATTACGGCAACACACAAATTACACTGTGGACATTATTGCAGACTCTCTTAATTTGCGTTTACGGCTCAGAATAGCACATCCAGTAATTCATCCAGTGGTTGGTAGGTTCTGTACTTCTAGAAAATATTAACCATTAATAATAGAAATTTTGCCTTAAATTATTATTGTGGAACATAAACTACTCTTCCAGATCTTATGATAATGAGAAAGAAAAGGAAGTTATTTTTTCCCCAGTATATTGCACTGATGTTGATACTTCTCTCATGGAAAAAAATTGCATTGTATTGTATGGAAATGTGATTCTGAAATATAAATACACTGACACAAAGTGATTTAGAAGCAAACAGGTATAAAAGCAATCTGGGAGGGAGCAGAACCCATGCGCTTAAATTTGTATGTGTAAAGCTAATCCCATATTTGATTTTTTTACATATTTGTGCAATTTGGGGCAGTTGTCATGCAATTCTATCACTTCTGGTGGATACCAAATGAGATTTAACAAGCAACATTGTTTCTCTTTAAAGAAAAGGAACACTTTTTACTAAAAAATTAAAAGATAAATGTAATGTTTGCCTTTAATCATGCTTTACTCCTGTGATTTGCCATTGGTTACTTTGATATTTTGTTAACTTTCCAATGCATTGGTGCATTTTGGTAACCTCCTATCCAGATATTAACAATGTCCAGTGGTTTTCAAGATCAACCAAGATTAATTAGTGAGGTGCTACTTAAATTAGCTGAAATATATGGTATAATTTACAGTGCAAAATTGGATAGTGAATTGTGGAGTTCTTGATGTTCTCACAAACTAGTTGTTTACTTGCAGACATTTTATTACCCAAGTAGGTAACATCTTCAGTGCTATTGAGAGTGGGGTTTAGATATTTATTCAAAAAGAATAATTGTTCCTTGGTGGAAGTTTGCCTACATGCAAATTTCCCTCATTTGAATGCTTTCTGAAGCAATTGATGCCCATATTAGTTCCAAGAAAAGAGAATATCAGTATTAAACTGGGCAGTCCTTGGTACTATCTGAGCCTGCAAGCTTGTTTGCTTGCAAAAACATGCAAATGGGCGATATGCTATCATATCATATGATGTCATGCTATGCTATGCTATTTCTGAATGGTGAATTGTTAGTGATTGACAGGGAATGCAATCCCTGAATGCATTAAATCAACCCATTAATTTAATGTAAAAACTAAAATTTGTAGTCAACTTTTCAATGAGTGAATGGAACTAGAATTAAATGAAGGATTAAATGGATTTAGAAGAAATCTTGAAAAATTGTGAAATTAAAGCGCTATGCACAACAACAATGAAGTAATGGATCAATGAAGTTAGAATTGGAAATTGAAAAAGAAGAGGTTGGTGTAAGAAATGTTACTTTAAAAACAGGTAGTATTTGTATCAGGAAAAACAATATTCTGTAGGATTCAGAGGCGAGGGAAAGAGCATGCTAAATACTGGATCAAAATATACATTAGCTTAGAAAATAGTCTGCTGAAATAAGAAAAGGATATAGAGTCATAGAAAGGCTGAGAAAACCATAGAACAAAAGAGCAAATAGGACTGGAGGATAAGTGTGCTATATGTAGTATTTAGAGAGAGGAAGTGCAGGTTTTTTTGATCCAGAAGAAATCAGGCAAGACAATCTGTCAATAGGGAATGTCTTGTCAAGAATCTTGGGAATTATATTTCAGTAATATCCTCTCTGCATTGCCGTGTTTTGATCTGAAAAGACCTATGAAAAACAAGGAGAAGAGTAGCTATAACTTACCAGTTGTTTTGGCCCCAGGCCTCTGCTTTTATATATACATTCAATATCTTTATTAATACATAATTCCAATAAAAATAAGATTTGTAAGTATTTAATTCAGTGCCTTCCACTTCCTTTTTCCTTTCTAGAAAAGACAGTATTCAACAATATCTCCATATTTAATGACACCTGTATTAAATGGCAGAGAGTCCCAGGAAGAAGACAGTCTGAGGAAAACTACCTGGTAAGTTAGGCACAGTTATAAGTGAATGGAAAGTAATGGAAGAGCTTTGAGAAATACTTTTTTCACACTTCTGTTGATGGTGAAGTTTTGAGAGTGACGTTGTCTGAAACACACAGGTGGAACCATTATCTCTTCAAATTCATAGGCTTTGTTGATTTTGGTAGCTCTTTAGCTGTCTCTTCAGAAGCCAAAATGGAACTTTGACAAACAACTGCAATGGAGCCTGCCCATTACAGTTGTATGTTGTTACCGTCATAAATTGGATTGTAATGCAACCAACCCAATTTTATGACCTTTTTTGCAATGGTTGTTAAGCGAACACAACAGTCATTAAGCAAAACCATCACTACAGTATGATTTAGCTGAAAACTGCAACTGGCAAAACTCTTATACTGTAAAATAGAGCCACATGACTCCAGGATGCTGCAAACATCCATAAATTCCTATTACCCAAAGTGTAGTCATGTGAGGGGTGGGGGCAACCATTGAAACCAAGTCATAATTTCCTTTTTCCATGTACGTCCAAACTTCCAACAGTTGCTATGTAACTAGTCGTAAGTTGAGAACTACCTGCAAAGGAATAGTATAGATCTATTTAAATTTATTTTCCCTATCAGGTAGAATTGAATCACAAGTATTCTTTTTTTTTTTTTGAAATTTTTTTATTAGTTTTATTACAGAAAAAAACACAAAAAGAAAAAAAAAAATCTTTTATTACATCTTGTAGAAAGCGTATCCATTGGTCACAAGTACATTTCGTGCGTTCCTTTGCAGAATCACATATATTCCATTCAGTTTAAATTGTATATGTTAAAAATTTTCCGCCCTTTCTTCTTCTAT